CAGCAAACTTGATGGCAAACCGTGGCTGAGATCCTCTGATTCTCCAATTCAACAATAATGGCAGGAGCTTGGATTTCAAGGGGGAGTTCTAGTTACTTTAATTTCTTACTCAATAATTGTTTAACAATTCCTAGGTCTTAGGATAGTTTTTCTGATTGTTGGGATAATTGTATTGCTTAATCTGATTATATTTAGGGATTATTGTGACTGAATTATTGCTTAGTATTTGACATTGGGCTGTTTATAGTTTTGATCTCAATTATAATGTTGTGGTTATGACATTTGTATTGATTTTGGAATTAATATATTGTGATTTTCTAAGGTGGCTTAGAATTTTGGATCATATAGTCTCTTACTAGTTTTAATTCTGTTATTTTGGATTTAAGAGTTCTAATTAAGCATTGGTTTTTAGCATCCTTAATCCCATTTTACTATTCTGGTTGCAGTTAGTAAGTTGGGATTTTAGGAAAATATTTTGTGGCAACTCGAGGTGGCTCGGTTGTTGGATCAAAAGCTTAATTATAATTCTTAATTCATTGTTTTTAACTCCCACATCTTTTAGAGTGATGATTGCCTGCATTGTTGAATTGGAGGATTGATTTTTATCAGTGTTATTTGTGTGTCTCATTTTCATTTCTTTAATCTCCATTCATTTTAATCACTTTTATATAAAAATAACCAAAAAAATATATTTTAATTTCAGTTTAATTCAAGGCATTTAATTAGTAATCCCTCAAAATCAAAATCATTTTCATAGTTTAGGTTATTTGCATTTATTTACTAGGGTTTAATTTCGTTTTCAGCTCCTCAAAGTGAAACGACCCGAGTTGTGCACTATATTGCATTAATTCGGTTAATTTTTGGAGTAACCCCAAAGCGACAATTAAGGGCAGTACAACTTCAAGTTGGCTTATAACACACAAGATCATGAGTTCGAGTCCCACTGCCAATATGAGGACGTTGTTGGTGGGTTATCTATAAGTACCTTCATGAATGCTCTTTGAGTCTAGAGACATGCCTTAACCGTAGTGAGCCATTGGGACTCAACTCACCTAAACTTTCTTGCACAAAAAAAAATAAGATGATTTTTTTATAGAAAATACTTTAATCAGGTTCTTTATACATGTTAAGTTTTTCAATTGCTTGGTCATATGTTCTATTTTTCATATGGGTTTATAATTAAATGATAATTTTCAAAAATAGAACACATAGTCATACGTGATTGGAAAATTTGACATAATATATATAAAGAACTTAATGTAAGTATTGTCTTTTTTTTATTATATTATTATTGGTACGTAATTTATTGTTTATTTTCTTTGAAAAACATAGGAGGCAGAGAGTGTGGTGCATCCTGTTTTAAATAAAAGAAATCCTCTAGACCTGTTCAGAGGATGGCACAATGAAAGGGATGAATGAGATTGAAATAGATAAAAGATACTGCTTCTTTTTTGTTCAGTTTGATTAATACGAAAATTTAATATGTAGTAACAAAAATTCACTCACTTTATCAGCTTCATACATATATACACATATGCACACGATACTTCTGATTCTAAATATAAGATCTAGTTTGTAACGCAAATTAAAATGTGCAGATTAAAATTATAGTACAAACTAATTTTTATATTTAAAATAAAGGGTTGTGTGTATATATATACCTAAAAAAGTACGTAAATATTTTATAAAATATCCATGTCAACAGGGCCAGGTCTACTCCACTGCCGGCTCATCTCCGGCCAGCATCTATAATTTGTCTTCTACTTATGATCCAAGCATCTTTAAAGAACGCGGAGACGTACGTGTAGCGGGGAAAATTTTTTGAACTTTCTTAAAACATTGAAAGATTTCTTTCATAGGGGATAAAAACGATTATAAGTATTTAATTTTAAACATCAAAAGCGTGATCGAACCAACATAAATTCAAGACACTAAAATAAGAAATTCATTTATAATGAATATAGTATACGAATATTGCATACATTAATTACTTATTGAATAAAAACTTCAAATAAAATCAAATTACCAATATTGATTATAAAAATATGCATAAAATTTTTTTTAAAATATTTAAATTAACAATACTCTTAATTTTTAATTATTTACAGTATCATTTATAAATATTTTTTGGTAGTTTAACCTGTGAGTAATTAAAATGATTAGAGACTTACAACCAACAAGTACATATGTTCAAATCTAAGCCGTTATCCTTTCCCCTCTGCCAACGCTCCAAAGTGTGCCACGTCACCCACTTTCAAAACGTTTTCCCCGTTAATAGTCACATTGTCTAGATGAGGTGGTAGAGTACTGAGCAATAACTAAGGAAACACAATATTGGATTCTGATTGTCATGTCCAAAGATATCAAATAAAGATGTAAGCTCGCGTCGCGTCATAGTTAATTGAGCTATGGAAGGGAGGCGCAATTTTAACGACATAGTTGCAGAGCCACTCACGAGAAACAGCAGTGATGATTGGTTCGAATGGGTTTGGAACTATCTGATATCTCAAGATTTCTGGGAAGTGACGAATAATAGCGCAGGACCAGACGAAAATCATTTGGAAGATTTTGCGAAATGGAGAAGAAACAATGCTGCAGCATTGCACATCATCCGTATCTCTTGTGGGCCTGAGAATCATTCTCAGCGAAACACCTCTCCATGTGGCTGCAAAATTTGGGCATCTGGACATAGTAGAGGTGTTGGTGAAATTAGTTGCATAAGAATCTCTCGAAATACGCGATGCTTATTATGACAATACTCCGCTTGCAATAGCTGCTTCACATAACGGACTCATGCTATATGATGTTGGTGCATAAATAGATATTGCCTTGCATTTGCTCCAACGACGCACGGAGCTGTTTTTTGCTCCTGACCCAGACAAGGAACCAACAATTCAGAATATTGCGTAGATTTTGCTACTTCAATGGGCGAAAATGTGGCTGCAAGGTTTGGGCATGTGCGCGTAGTAGAGGAATTGGTGAGATTAGTTCCAGAAGAATATCTTGAAATACGTGATGCTTACTATGACAATACTCCACTTGCAATAGCTGCTTCACATAGTGGACTCATCCCAATTGCAGCATGCATGATCAACAAGAATAAAAATATTCTTGCAATTCCAACTGAAGATGATTGGGACATTCCGGTTACCATGGCTTTTTATTCTGGCCACAACAAAGTGGGAGGTAATCTCTATTCTGTCACTCCTTTGCAAGTCTTAAACCGGAAAACGGCACTGTGGGGCCTTAGTTCCTCCAAACCTGTTTGAGATTTGGAGAATTAGGTAGCATAACTTTTAGATATATAATTTTATACACAAAGCATAATATGTATGTTTCATTTTCATTTTTTCCCTGTCTGATTATACTTGTTGTCATTTTGCCATTATGTCTCATACTATATGAAGTTTAATACATGAATATATAGATATTGCCTTGCATTTGCTCCAACAATGCACGGAGCTGCTTTTTGCTGCTGACTCAGATGATGAGGAACCAACAATTCAAAATATTGCACGCTATCTTCCTAATTCTCTTGACAAAAGTCAATTTTCGTTCTGGAAGCTATGCCCTATCACTGTTAGTGCATATTATTACTTTCTATTTTTCCGTGCAATTTTTTAATTATACACTAGCCAAATATGATGATGAGGTTAAAGATGGTGAAGATGAAGTTATTTTAACAAACACCGGTATATATAGTTTAGTTTTTTTCGTGTTATATTCATCAATATTTGGTCACATATGCTGGGTCATTAATAAACTTTTTTCAAATATATATTACCCCTATAACAATTTATTTGGAGAAGACTTTAAGTCATAGTGTTTCTGTATACTTTTAAATATGTGCAAAGTTGAAAAAAAAATGTTCTATCTTTAAATAAAGTTAATGAGTCAATCATCTTTCTCTGGTTGGGAGCACATTTCGTGCTAATTACAATTATTAGCATTGATTGCTCATCTTAATTTAAACTATCCGAGTCGATTTGGGATAGTCCAGTTTGAATTTAAACTTATTATATATTTAATTAATTTTTTGTTTGAATAGATATATAATTTAAAATAGATATAATCTTATTACTAAGACTTCTTTAAAAAATAAATTTATCATTGAAAAAATTGCATATTAAAAATTTTAAATATGAATCATTCATATCAGATATTAGATGGTCTGGATTGCGTTATAGTGATGAGCATAGGATATTCATAACTGTGATGAGTACTAAATGAGGGCCCTCTCTAATCCTGGTGAGGTAGTTATAATATAGACTGGATAGAGTATAAGGGAAGTCAAGTATGTACAAAACATATTGGACACTGTAAATTCAAACAATAAATTTGCTACAATTAATAACCAGTCTTTGAGTTTTAGGCATAGTTTTGTGGGAACGCTAAATCCATTATTATATGTGTTGACGAATGTGAGTTCTTTGACTAAAAATTAGAAAACTCCTTTGCTTCTCTCTTCCAATCCTATTCTTTAATATAGTTAATTTTCACTCAATGAATTTGTCCTTTTGCATGATTGCTGCAAAATTTTCCAAAATCTATCAATATGCTTAATCGCTTGCAGTGGACAACAACTCTATGTACATATATATATATATATATATATATATATATTTACAATCAGTGTTATCTTCCGATAATTCATTATCGTTGTCAGCATAATAATAGTATTTGTTATAAGTACACTACATCTAATTCTCATTACATAAGATACCTTCTACAATTTTTTCATGGTCAATCTAAGGCTCTTTCAAAATTTGGTTAAACGTTTATGGCGTATTTCCAAAAATAATGTTGGCTAAACAATTTCCAAAAATATATTTATGTAATTAACCCTCAATTTATTAGGAGGTGGCAGCAATTAATTAATACTATTTACGTAATTTACTTGTACTTCTAGTTATTTATTGCGTTAGTATTTTAAGAAGCTTGTGTTTTCCCATTTCTTTGATCACTTTTGGGTGGAAGATATGAAAATACCATCAACCACAATGACTGGACATTTCTGCGTAGATATTCAGCAAGAAGGCGAGAGCAACAAAGCAGGTCAAGGTACAATATTCTCTATCACTTTGGAAGATAAAATCAAATAATATTATATAACTATTATTATTATAGAACATAGATTATACCAAGTATACCAATTATTATTATAGAATTAACATAGATTATACCAAGTATACAAATGTCCATGTCAACAGGGCTAGGTCTGCTCCATTGGCTCGTCTCAGGCATCTATAATTTGTCAGGTAGGTATGTATGTAAGTATGCCAAAAAGTTCCCCAGAAGTTAAATTGGATGCCTATGGTATTTTAGTTCTATTTGATTTATAGCCAATGGTGCAGGAATGAAGGAAATATATAAGATGAAGGTGCAGCATGCACAAGCAGCCGGAATTCTAAACCTAGTTTGTGAGAATCTGGTATATTTGAATGAAGTAAAGAAGAATATGGTTGGAAAAGCAATGACATCTGTAGCTAAAGAAGAGAATGTTGAGTTTTTGTTGCGAGTAACAAAGGCAAACCCAGAATTAATCACGCTAGTCAGTTTTGGCCAGCCAGACTTGCCCATTTTCTTTGACGCTGTTGAATATCGTAGAGCTGAGATTTTCAACCTCCTCTGTGGTTTTCGCTTTAAGAATGTGGTGGCGACATTAGTTGATTTGGAGAACTCAAATACCTTGCTGCATGTGGCAGCTATGTTGGCCCCTTCTTCCTACCTTAATCGGATCCCTGGTGCCACATTGCAGATGCAAAGGGAAATCCAATGGTTCAAGGTTAGTTGGAAGTGAAATTTAATGCTTTTTCCTTGGATAATTATTTGTATATATACACATAGAATGCAATAATAACATGGAACGAGTTTGAAATAAGCACCTAAAGCTCATCCTATATGAACAGTCGAGATAGATAAGGACCCAAACCAGTTCCGAATAACATTGAATTAAATGGAACAAATGTCAGTTTTAATATATGCAATTAATCAACACTTCTATTTTGCTACTTTGTATCTTTTATTAATTGCTTATTATGTATTTATTTTCTGTAAACGTAGGCCGTCGACAGTGTGGTGGATGCAGGAACTAGGCTATCCGTAAACACGAACATGTTGAACCCTCTAGAATATTTCAAAGAAAACCACAAAGAACTTAGGGCTCAAGGAGAAAAATGGATGAAAGAAATAGCATCTTCATGTTCAGTTGTTGGCGCACTAATTATTACTATTATGTTTGCCGGAGCATTTACGGTTCCAGGAGGAAACAATCAGATTTCAGGATACCCAATATTTATAGAGAAAAAATTATTTAAGGTTTTCTTAATTTCAGATGCAATGTCCTTGTTTTCGTCCACTACTTCTATGCTCACATTTTTAAGAATCCTCACCTCATGCTATGCAGAAGAAGACTTCCTTTACTCTGTTTTTGATAATTCCTTTCAAGATATGATTGATGACTGTTTAGGTCTTTCTACACTGTTTTTGTCTATTGCAACTATGATGATTGCCTTTTCAGCAACCATAATGATCATGTTACAATATAACTTATCACGTTTATGGGTTACTCTTCCTATTATTGTGCTTGCTGGTATTCCAGTAACCATCTTTGTACTATTACAATTCCCTCTTCTTGTTGAAGTAACTTCTTCCACTTATGGTCCTGGCATCTTCAAGAAGGTGGAGAAGTGGCCATGAATTGTGCATGTAATTAATTCACATCTTATCATATATGTATTATTTTCTAGAGGATGAAATGTGTGTGTACTTCATGTCTTTTTATTACTATAGCAGGAAACATATGGGCCCGCTATAGTTTGAATCCAAATAAAGTTGAACAACTTGAATTTAAATTAACAGAAAGTTTAATTGTATTCATGAGCTTTTTTTCATCAATAATAAGAAATTTCAGTTAAGCAAAGAAGTTATGGTTGAGAGAATTAATTAATATCACAAAAAATCACCATCATTTCTTGGTTGTGTGTGTGTGAGAGAGAGAAGCCCGTGAAATTAAGGCCTCAAAAATCAAGCTGCCAATGATAATTCCTTTCAAGATATGATTTATGACTGTTTTCCTAACTTTTGTATATATAGATAATGTAAAAGGGATAATTAACCTCTGGAGTGAGAGAGGTACAAGATTTAGATACGGGTATTGTGTTTAAGTTTACATCATGGTAGGGCACCTTATGATTGTGTAATAATTCTCTACGTTCAGACGTAAAATGGGGGCTTAGAAGAGATCGAAAAGCTATTTGCGTTTTAAAAAATTATTAATTAAAAATAATTTATCAATATAATTCTACCCTGAGAAGTGCTTGCTAGACATCCTGGATTATGCCAAACGGACGCATTATATTCTCGAGTATTGGATCGGCCGATCCGAAATAGCGATCTGATTAATGCTTACCTTTATTAGCGATTACTTTACAAAAGCCCAGAAGACAGAACGGAACATAAGAAGGCTGAGGCATTAACATATCAAATTTCCGTCAGAGGAGGGAAGCGCGCGCGCGCGCACACACACACACACACATCTCCAAGTTCAACTGGTAAGTAATGTGTATGATTGATCTCTGTTCCTTTCAACAGAAAATATGTGTAGTTATCAAGAAATATTGCCCATTAATTGGTAGCTGCAAGTATCTCCCCTCATCACTGTAATCACCAATTCTTGCAGTTTCAGAAATTAAAATACACATTTCATCCCAAAAAGAAAATTTTTTTGAACTGTATTAACTCACCATTAAAATATAATAACTTTTTAATTTTATTCCTGTTTAATATAAATACTATTTAAGAAAATAACTATTTACACTATAATAAGTGATGGATAAAATAGTACATTCATATTAAAAATTTAATGAGATGACTTATAAATAGGATTAAAAAAATAACTTTTTGCTTACTGAAATTTCTTATTATCGATGAAAAGTTGCTCAAGAATAAAATTAGACTGCCAAACTTTTTATTAATTTAAATTTAAATTGTTCAACTTTATTTGGGTTATTCAAACTATAGCAGGCGCATGCATCATATGTTGTAATAGGCCCATGTATCCTGACATATTTCCGAAAGCACGATTCTCGGAGTCTTTGAGAAAATGGACATTGGGGATGAAGCAAACTAAAAAGCATACACTACTTTAAAATTAATTAATTTGGCATAATCAGACATCAACATGTTTATGTTCTGAATGTGCAAAGGTTGATGATACACACACATCACCAACTTATGCCCTTAATTACTAAAGCTAAAAATAAAACCAGGTGCTTTACACTCGAGGGGATGAAGAATTTCTAATTCAACAGAAAATACATAAAGTACTAAGATATGAAGCGCACACACATTTCATGGCCACTTCTCCACCTTCCGGAAGATGCCTGGACCATAAGTAGAATAAATTATTTCAACAAGAGGGAACTGTAATAAAACAAAGATAGTTATGGGCACGCTAGCAAGCATAATAACAGGAAGAAAAGCCCAAAAAGGTGATGAGTTCTGTTGCTACATGATGATCATTGCTGAGGAAAAGGCTATCAGCATAGTTGCAATTGAGAGAAAAAGTGCAGAGAGGCCTATGATCAATTTTGTAGGTAAGGAGTAAAGAAAGTCATCTTCTACATAACGTGATGTAAGAATTCCTACAAATGTAAGCACTGAAGAAGTAGAAGCAAACAAGGACATTGCATCTGAAATTAAGAAAACTCTGAACAACTTTTCTTTCAAAAATATTGGGTGCCCAGATGTTTGATCATTTCCACCAGGAACAGTAAAAGCTGCAGCAAACATAATGGTGACAATTAGAGCACCAACAACTGAGCAAGAAGTTGCAGTATCTTTCATCCATTTCTCACCATTGTTCCTGAGTTCTTTATGGTTTTCTTTGAAATAGTCCAGAGGAGTCAACTTGTCTTTGTTATGACGACGCTCAATTCCAAGATTCACCATACTCTCTACCGCCTATAATGAAAAAAGGAAAGAAGTAGCATAAAAGTGCTGACAGATTGTATCTTAAAATATTTGTTACAAATGGGATAATGGAATTAATCTCTCATTTCCTGTTGAATTTAATCCCTCACCTGCTAACCATTAGGTCCAAAGAGTTGGGAGCTACATGATTCAATGATTTTAATTTATATGTTAATCTCCCTCACACATGCACACACAAAAGCATTTAATTTGACTTCTAACCTTAAACCACTGCCATTCCCTTTGCATTTGCAAAGCGGCGCCAGGGATGCGGTAAAGTTGGGAAGGAGGAGCCAACTTCGCCGCTGTGTGCAGCAAGTTATTGTTATTCTCAAGGAACATTGCTGCTACCACATTCCTAAAGAGAAACCCACGAAGGAGGTTAAAACTCTCAGCTTGACGATAGATATTTAACGGCACTGAAGAAAGCATTCTCCTTTTGTTGGGAAAATGTGATCATTGAGATTAATTCCGGGTTTGCTGTTGATATCTTCTTAAAAAACTCAACATTCCCTGATTTAGCAGCCGCCGACAGTGCTTTTCTAATCATACGCTTTTTATCTTCATTCGGAAATGTCAGATTGTTACAAGCTAGCGCTAGAATTTCAGTTGCCCGTGTATGTTGCAACTTGAGCTTATGTATTTCCTTCATCCCTGGACAATTGGTAACTCAAATATAACTTAATATTGGTCAAGTTTAATCATGAGAACAAAAATCTTAAAAGTAACTAATTTAAGTTTTGGGGAAATTTTGAGCATACATACCAAGCAAATTATAAATCAAGGAGATGAGCCGCTGTGGTAGATTTAGTCCTGTATATTGAAATGGATTTTTGTCGGCGCAATCATTCAAAAAGATTACACACACATATGTGCATATGGGTCTATCCTTTTCTTGCATTGGATCAAAGTTAGGTTCAACTTAAATGTCAACATTTGGCATCTTATGCAAAAATCAAGATCAGCATCTCAATCCAAACAAAAAAAAAAAAAAAAAAGGTCAGCATCACTATGCCCAAATTATTTTTATTCTCAAATTTTATATTTTGACATACCTCATTTTCATGTATGATAAACTAGTATTGACTGCCCGTACGATGCACAGGAAGAATTTATTTCATTGTGATTAATCTTAATTGATTGCAATCTTTATCACTCTAAAGCAATAATTTAGCATCTTTTGTAAATGCTGCATTTACCATGACCAATTGCAATCAATCCCTCTTTTAAGAAAGATTCGACTTCAATTGTTACAAATTAAAAGTTGTTTGAAAAAATAATAATGTTGTGATGAATTAATTAACCATTTGAACTTTGCTAAAATAGTTATTAGCAACTAAGAAATGGTTATCTACGGACTGATACACAATTTTTGTTAGGGACTGATTTTTTTTAAAGTGACTATGCTTATGGTTATATCACGAAGAAATGGTTTTTTTTCCCCCCAAGAAAGATCAATAAGACATCCTCTTACGTAGCATCAGACGCTACAAATTTAAATCATAAATTGTTCATGGAAAAGAGAAGCACAAATCAGCAAATTGGTCAAATTAATATTAGCCATACGTCTTGACCTCCAAGAAACTTCAGTCGATAATCTACTTCCTGAGGAAGCCCATAAAATAAGGATATCTAATGTTAGCATTGCTTGACATTTTAATAAGAAACCCAAAAGCTCTACCACAGAAACATGCAGAGCCATACTCCTTGACCTCCAACACATCACAAAAGATTTACCAGAGTTATATGTCATATAAACAAGAAACCCTATAGATTTACCACAAAAATATGGAGAGTAAATTACTTTGACCAATAACTCATATCGCAGCAAATTTTTTCAGTTATGCATATCCTGCAAGATAAGTTTGCGCCGATTTCCTACCTTTGTGAATGTCATGTCTTTTGTCTTCCCAAGGCTGGCAGCTATTCGCCAACTCTGAAACACTACTCTATTGAGGACAGCCCCTAAACTTTTTTTTTGGGGGGGGGGGGGGAGCTAGGGTTAATAAACTTAGATAATTGTTCTTTCCTACTGGATTTCTACAAAATAATAATTGTGAAACAGAAAATACATGAATTTAACATATAATGAATTTACCCATTAATTATTAGGTAGATTTATTGAGAAAAAAAAAAGCCCACTAAAATCGTTGAATTAGGATAAATAATATGAATGCAAACAAATTCCTGCACCTCTCCACGTGTATGAACCTCCCGTAAACTGATGACTACCACGGCTTAATGATATGCGTAATTCTTACAAGACAACTATCCCACCTATTTCATAATGCTATAGTTTATTAGCAAGGAAATTCTGATAGACTTACATTTCATAAATTTAAATGCAAAGAATATATGAGCAAATGTCAGGAGAATCTAATTTACATGTCTGCCTGATGCTGCATTTCAAATAGAATATTGATTACAAATACCATAATGTGTCGTATGATAAGCAAATTTTAACCTTCCATGGATAATGGCGGCGTCATGTGCTTCAAACTTTATGATCCGTTACAGAATTATTTTGGAGTCCCCACAAAGAAGAGAAAAAATGTGAGTGAGAAGGGGTTGGTGCATTTAACTTGAAGTGTGCGAATAGTGATATCGTGTTGGTTTGGGTGGCGGCCTGCCCTGTCCTGCTGTGAAAGGTTTCAGAAGAAAAAGGACTTTGGCACAGTAAGTCCCCTCATTCCGGTGCGCCGCGTGAAAATGAACCAGAACCGTCCCTTCCTCTTCCTTATCCTCCAAGGACTATCCTCTGTTTCGCTTCGTACACAGATATATACGTACCTATAATATGAATACAAAAGAATCATTAATCAAATAACATATAACCTAAAAATAAATAAATATATAAACTAACAGAGTAATTTCTTATACCTCTTTTTTAATTCTCTAAAGCATCTGTTCTAGAAATAAGACATCTTGAGTTGATGATAGTGTCAAGCAAACCCAGGCCGATGCTCTCAAGTCGGACTTATCTGAGAGAGATTGGTTAGGGAGAGTGAGCAGCAAGCAGACCTTGGGAGATGAAAAAATATGAGAACTTAAAAAGAACTAAAAAAAATCCCATCTTTGAAACCTCTCATCTCATCCTTTTCCTCCTTCCTTGAATTTTTTCGTTCAAATCGAACAATTCGTGCTAAGCCATTGTTTTGTTTAGAACTGGTTAGCAATCAATCAAACACTAAAACCTGCCCAAGTAACAAAGGCATGCCTGAAAATTTCTTCTAAAATTCATACAGAGCAAGATCTCAGATCTGAATCTAACGAAGAAGGAAAAAAGATGAGGAAGAATAGGGAAGAAAAAGATGAAGAAGGAAAGGAAAGGAAAGAAAGACCTTTCTGATTTATTAGCGATGGCAGCAACTACACACAGCACTGTCACCACCATGCACCCGCACCCACCACACCCACACCCACACCCAACGGTAGCCGACAAGAGGGACGCAGGAGATGGCGAACTCCGGGTTCTCATAGTGATTGTAAGTAAAGGAAAAGGAGTGGTGATTTCTCAGAGAAAATCATCAATCTGAGTGAAAGAGAAAGAGAGAGGTTGAAGCTTCCATTTGAATTTGGAAGAGATGGGAAAAAAAGAAAGAGAAGCATGTCTGAAAAAAGAGTAGGATGCGGAGAGAATGGGGCGTTCATGAGACCCAATAATGGTGTGCCCGATCGAGCCGCTAAAAAAATGCTCAGCCCAGTCTAAAAAAAAAAACTAGACATTTTCAGATCAGGCTAATCACGAATAAGGTCGGGCTGCAAACAAGGCATGTAGGCCTGCCCATTGGCCTTGCCCAAAATATATATATAATTATTTATATTATAATATATATTTCTCTAGAATTATAATATATATAGTGTAATATTAATATATTATATTTCAATACCCAAAATAAACATTACTCCCTTGTATGATTAGACTTTACATTTTTAAAGTTCTAATTTTTTTAAAATATACTGCATATTTTAACTTTTCTGAATTACCTTGCAGTATATTACAATTATCCTTTAACTTTTTCAGATTGATATTACTCCATATATCATGAAATGGTACTAATTATACTAATTTGAATATAACATATAGATCTCTATAAATTATATTAAATCATAAGTTAATAATATAATTGAATATGCTCCACGCCATGCACCCAGGTGTGCAGATTTTCTTGCCAGAGACGCTCAGCATCTGAGCAATAACATGCAGCTTTTGCTAAATACACACCCAGGATGCCTCACACTCATGAGAGATGATATTTCCTAGCAACTCTTCTTTTGAGTTTTTCCGATTTGTTTCTCTCTATAAAATTATTTTAACTTGCCTATCGTATTCCAAAAAACAAATATAATTGAATATGTTAATATAGCTTGTATTTTTTTTTATATGCTTCGTCATCTTCTTAATTTTGTGGAGATTAATGGAAATCATTTAGATTTTAAGGCTTTAATTACAATTTTTTATTGTCTTGTTTTTAATAAATTATGGATGTTATTTAATTCTTGAAGCATGGATATTTGTTAAGACACATGGTAGTATTTTAAATTTCATGACTCAGGTTGTAAATTTGAGCAAGGAAAGTCTGCCCTGCCCAACCTGTACTAACCCAGTCCAAAATAGGTAGGGCTTCTACCGGACATGGATGCAGCCCGCTCAGCCTTCGAGTTGGGTATCGAGGAGGGGTTCTGCCCTGTCCAGTCCTGTCTATACATACCTCTAGGAGAGATTAGGAAAGATGAATGGGACGGTGGAGGGAATTTTGAGATTTGAATTACCAAGCCCAAAATTTTTTTAAAAAAAAAGAAAGAAAAAAAGAAAACAGAGCGAATGCACGGAGCCACACGCAAGGAGTCAGTTTGAAAATAAAAGTAACTCACCTTAGATTTGATTTTTATTTAATATTTTAAGTTAATTAAATAAAGAGAAAATTTAACCCCCATAGTCCGTTTTCCTCTATTTTAAATCAAATCTGAAATTAAAATTAATAATTTTTACATTTCAGGATGAACGACGCCCATAATGGATTAAACAATAAGAGCTTAATTCCAAAAAAAAAAACTAGAGAGACCTGATCGATTTAAAATTAAAGCACATTATAAAGAGTTTCTGATTAATTTTTCTACATAAAATAAAATTTTATTTACATCTTTTAATATATATGTTGTACTATCTCCGATTCTTGATATAAAAGTTAGTTTGACTTTTAATTTGGTCTTACGTATAAGCATCCAATTCATTTTATCTCTCATATTTACCCATTTTTCCTAAGGTAATTCCTGTGTTAATTGCACTTGTTAAAAGTTTCTACCTAACACATATGATTAGCAAATGTATTTTAAGAAAAACAATACATATTTATTAAAAATAACTAACTCATCTAGTTTTCTTAATCTACTCAAGTTAGTCAACTAACTCTTATATTAAATACCGGAAG